TGCCTACTGCGAAAACGACGTTTAGTTGCGTCATGCGCCTTCTGGTAAAGCAGATACTGTGATAGTGAGCTTGCTAGGGTGTGGATTACGTTCTAAATAGCCTTGCAGTTAGTCCTATTAGTTCGTATCAGTCCAGTTATTAGTTCTGTCATCTACCGATTAGAGCAGCCTATTGACTGGTGCCCATTTGAAGTAGCAGAGCGATAATCGCAGCAGAGCGATCACTCATCCTCCTGGATATGCGATAGAACAGGAAATGTAATTTGAATCACGCAGGGTGCCTCAGATCCCTGAGTTGTCATTATTTAAAAAAAGCTATTGATTTATGAGAGCGCAGGAATACACCACACATCAATCAATCGAAAGACCCCCGGTGTAGGGGCTGGGTTAGTGAACAAATCCACTGGAGCGTTCCCTTCATAGATAAAACAGCGTGTTCGGCATTTTCGACTTCTTGAACAATTTATTGCTATGGCTTTATTAGTCGTTTACTGGTGTCCGATTTGGCGCTAATGACCTTGGGGGTGGAAGGTAGAGGGTCGAGTATTTAGGAGACTCCTTGTGTAAAACTGGGCTTCCAGTAATGGATGCACATGCAAAAGTGGGAACGAGAAGAAACACAAGTGACGTTTTTTTGATTTCTCACTAGCTTATTTTTGGGACCTCGAGAAGCTCTCAAACTTTTAAAGGCTTAAAGGGAGGTTGGTGAAAAAAAATCAAGAACTTTACTTCTATATGGGTAATGTCAGTTCCATTTCTGCACGTGTCCTTGGTATGCTCCCTCACGCGAGGTTGTCCGTGTCTCAAAGTTTATTTCAATCGATTTCTGATGAATGAAAGTGCAAAACTGACGTCTTGACAGGGTCTGTGTTCCCTCAGGTCACGTGCCACTATCATCTTGTCTCTTTGTTATGAATATAGCGCTCGATGCATGTACCTTTCATTTCGTATGGTTGTTACCGAATTTTTACGTGAAGGTTCCGGGATAGATTGTCCGGGGTTTCTCTAGTTATATCCACAGCTAATTTTTTGGGCACCTATGTGAAGCCCATATCTGACGGCAAGCGAAGGAGTGGCTGCGAGAGCTACGAGTGAAGAGACGAAAAAGGGGCAAAGATGTGTGGGTAAAAGAGGGGAGTCGGCTTGAAAATACATAGTGCCGGAATGCCTGTTTCGCTTTCCGATATAGGCGATACTTGTTATTGTCTTTACTATGTACATTACTATCATTACAAACAAGTTCTTGATGGGTTTTTTTTTTTTTGTTGTCACACATATAAGTTGCGTCGTTATCACAGAGATCTTGTTCTTCAGATGGAGTGCATGGTGTCAACTGGTCCGTTTGATATCGCTCTGAAAGTGATGAATGTTGATGGAACTGAGAGACAAGCTGGAGAATGTGGATCCTACCCAATATGGGCAGTGATCAACCGATGTATAGTTCTTTGTGCCAATCGTAAATATGAAGAGGCTGAGGCCTTGTACAAAGTTAGTTTTATGCTTTTTTTTGTTCTTTCATATAATTTTATTTCTTGATTTCTTGTCATCTCGAATACCGTAGCGTAGAGTGTTCAAAGCGCTCGATTTTCCAAAGCGAAGGGTGCTCGTGGTATTGGGACGAACATCATCGTACATCCACGTTGCGGTAACGCACTGAGAGAGTACCTAGTAATTAGTTAAAACTGCAGCAGCTCCGAATTGAAAGTACGCTGTACGCCTACCTTTGAGGATCCTGGTCTTCGGGTTTTGGCACTACCCCGTAGGGTTGGTGCTTGAAATTTGAAGAGAGTAGGGGAAAAGACGAGGTTTCGTGGGGAAAGTTGGGCTATCGTTATCCGAAATGTTGATATTGCAACTTTTATAGTTGTGTTTTCAGGAGATACGAGCATCTACGACGACTAACGAATTGTACGAAAGAAGTGTCCTGGCTTTGGGTGTGTTCATTTACTCGAAATTGAATCGTTCGTCAGACGCATTCCGACTAATTGACGAGTTGCGAAAGGCCCAGGATTACGAGGACGAGCAGGTTGCTAATGAGGTGCGCTATTTGACTTTTTGTAAAAAGTTGTAGACGTTCCATTTTCTCCAAATTATCCGTTCCAGAACGGTCGCTCAGCTGCAGCAGAAGATCCGTTGAAAATTTTAGCTCGAATTGAAGCCGAAAAGCGGCTGTCAATAGTCTGACCCGTTTACATTTTCGCAGCCAACTTTGTGGGTTTAGCCTGAAGCCATTCCGTGTGCTTGCTTGTATTACTGTCATAGGTGTTGAGTGTTGCTTTACGATAACGTACAAATCATTCCTCTCTTATTTGTACTTCGTCTAGACGTCGGAAAGTTTTAGGCCGACGTACATTTCCATTCCATTGATCTGATCTGCAAATTCTTAAACTCAGTCGTTGAATGTTTACCTCCTCCCACAATCCCATGTGTTACGGGTTTTTATCATTCTTTTTTCCTATGTCATTGTTTTCTATTCCTTTCTTCTGAGGGTTGTTACTTCGATACGTTTGTGATTCTCAAATGTGGTTTTTGAGGCATATTTAATGAAGCTATTGTACGTAAGTTGTGGTCATGACATGTTTGGTACTTAACCAGTTATCCTTTTTCTTGGACCTGATATGCTCATTTGCTCGTGTAGTTGAGGGGGGGGGGGGGCATGTGGCTGCAGTTGATGACTGTGGGCATGATTGCTGGAGGCGAGCTGGATTGCTGGAGTGTCACTGGTGGAAGAGCTGCGCGAGGGCGTTTGGCCACACCCCTCTCAGCCCTTTCACCAATGGCGCTGGACGGGAACCGCCCCGCATCCAGCAATCGTACTCGCTGCCTTTGAGGAAGGACGGAGAAACTGCACCGAAAAACTGCTACAATATTGTTAGTTTTGCCCAAAATGTTTGGAACGCTCAAAGCGCCGGCGAAAACTATGAACGCAGCTAGAAGAGCGTGAACGAGCTGCGTGGAATCCGCGCGAGCTTGTTTTTAAGCGCTGAGGCGCGGGCTTAGAGTTAATGAGGTGATCGTGTAGTCTTCTTTGACTGCAGTAACATCCATGTCTAATGTTAATACAGTCTTGACCGCTGAGAATGAAAGGGCGTGTCAGGCGGGATGGGTTTGGCGTGGAGCCAGTTTTCGAAGTAAGTAGGCGACAACATGCGAAAGCGACTAATACGAATGACGTAATACAGCTGTGTCGCTTGCTCGCTTCAATAGCTGGTGGCAGATGTGGCACCGCACAAGTCCCATCCCACCTGACGCGCCCCCTCATCTGCAGCGAACAAGACTTTATACAGGTCATGAAAACGGAATAGTTTCGATATGAAGGAGTTGCCAATTCAACAGAAGTAATATTAATTAAATTCGCTTTAGTTATTTTATTTTGATATTTTGATGTGATGCTTTCTGTTCTTCGACGAGGCTGCCGAGGATGTTTGACATCGAATCATCGCGCCTACACAACGTAGGTCTTTCCTTCAGGAACGTCATGTGTTTGTTTATTTATTTTTGTTTATTCATGTGAATGAGCTTCAGGAAGTTCACTTCCTCAGCCGATGTAGTGGTTTGTGGAGGTGGAATTGCTGGAACCTCGGCAGCATATCACTTGGCGAGTAGAGGCAAACGTGTTTGCCTTTTTGAAAAAGACGCGTGAGTTTATAGTTGAGGATTTCGGAAAAGGGAAATGCATCAAGATGACCCAAATTTGTTTTCTCATATTTCTATTTTGGCGCTATTCGGCTTGGGGAGGGCATTTTGCGCTTTCGCTAGTTTCTTTTACTAGTTCCTGTTAATTAATTCGCACACTTTGGTGAGGCCTGGAGACTCTTGTCAAGTGTAAACGAAGCTGGTGCAGTTGCATAGTTCCACAAGAATTTACACTTCCACGAGAGGCACTGATAGTGGTCAGTGGGAACCAACAAAATGCCTCCACCAAGTTGAACTGCGCCTTAATTAGTCATTCAAAATATTGTGTTTTCCAGGATAGGATGTGGTGGTGCAACTGGTGTTAGTGGTGGTCTTGTCACAGCTCCAGTTTTCTTCCAAGATGCTACGCAACAGCACCTTGCTCGTAGATCCCTGGAACTGTATACAAAACTATCTCAGCTTGGGCGATTCAGTCAGTGACCTCTTTTTGGGGGAGTCAAAATCATTTCTTTGCGCTGCACTTCCTTTGTTTTAGAATTCACGAAATGTGGCAGAGTTTATCTGGCGTCCACAAAGCCGAATGAGATACTTTTGAGAAGAATGTATTCCAGAGGTGCGCTGTTGATCTTTTTTTGTTTTGGTTGTTCGATGAAATGCTGAATAGCGGCATTTTGCTATTTCTGACCCAATTCACAGTCATGAGATGGATGGACCGTACTTGCTTATGAGTTTTTTTATGGCGCAGTGTGCTATGTTGTAAGGCGTGTCCTAGTACCGGGCACCTCCTGTGGTTGAGCAGCATTCTTTCAAAATACGATCCCTCTCAAGGGTTCACCTCTGACGCGGCCCTCCCCACCCTGCCTACCACCATCTTATTCACTTTTCCCAACTTCCTACCCCACTTTTCAGGTTTTCTTTTTCGGAAATTGTCCCCTTTGCACACAAAACTGCCGCCGTCGTCATTTCGTCATGCCCGTTGGGCGGGGGGGGGGGGCGATAAATAGTATATGTTAAACGGGAAAAAGCGAGCGAAGTCAACAACGAAAGCATCTCTCTCAAGGTCAAGTGCGACTCACTCCTTCCAGCCACCGAATACGACCCCCCACCCCTTGCTGGGGTTACCTAGCCTACGACGTGCTCTGCCTTCGTCTTCTGCTGTAACGTCGGAAATGTTTTTCAGTGTTCATTGGTGGACTTCTGTTACTGGAATTTGAAGGGTCACACTTCAGTAAATGAGAAAACCAATTCTCCTAAGCGTTTGGTTCACAGTGTCTGACCGTTCCTCTATTGGTGTAATTCTGGTAGCTCCTTTTTGGTATTATCTTTCTAGCGAAGGCGGAGAAGGTATAGTGTCGAAAGGCTTCGCTCACTGTCACTAGTCAGGTTCCGGGTCTCACCCAGATCAACAAAGGCCTTCATTCCTACGGGGTTGGTTGATTAGTGGCCGAATTCGACTGGAACATCAAGAGCACCACCAATTCATTGTTCAAGGGTCGCCTCTATGGGCCGAATCGTCTTGAGATGCCGCTGTCATTCTGAATTGATGTCAGATGCATGGCCTATCACGAAAAGGGAACAGTCTACGCCGACTACTTTGATCCCTCATAGCCGTTTACTCCGTGGACCTTACCACTGCTAATTGATAATTGGTTGATTTATCTTGTGCTTTAGTTTTTTCTGTCAATTTTATAACTTCCTTTGTTTGAGGAGTTCTCACTAAAAACAATGTGGAACTCCTTGATGATCCAAGCGAAATGGTAGCACGATGGCCTTTCCTACAAACAGAAGACATTCAGGTGTATATTTCAATTAGTAGCGTTTTGCTTTGTAAATGTGAATTTTAAGATCGATCGGACGTCTATAATTTCAGTTGGCGTTGCTTTCCCGAGAGGATGTGGCTTTGGATCCAGTCGCTCTCTGTCAGGAGCTTGCTCGTCAAGCCCAAGCAGCTGGTACGTCATTAGCTTGATTTATACGCCCTTTCACTGCTTATTGCAGTTCACACTACTGTTAGATATTCAAAATATTTCCCTTAAGGTGCTCAAATCTTTGAAAATTGTGGAATCGAAGAAGTTCTTCTGGGAGATGAGCGTCAGGTATATGCCGTCAATACGTGCAATGGTGTCGTTGAAACTCCTATATTTGTTGACGCTAGTGGAATTGTAAGTTGATTCCCAGTTTGAACCAAATATTCCCTTTCAAGCAAGTAATTTTCTAGTGGACTGGTACCGTACTGGTCAAGTCGCTACCGTATCGTCACGTTCGAACGGCTTCATACCCATGCACTCTAGGTTATATTCAAGCTACAATATTGCCAGTGAAGCGGTTCTGCAATACACCGAGTGAGTTCTTCGATTTTACGGTTCAGTTTTGACATGGAATTGATATTCTGGATTTGAAAGACACTGTCCGGATCGCCGGGTAGGTGGAGCTAAGAAACAGAGTTATTGGCGCGTCCTTCCATTTCTCGCTTTCCTCATCGCCATGAATGTAAAGTCCCATAAATGCAAAATCTTCGCCGTTGGTCAGTCTCATTTGGCATGGGGCCCACATTCTTCTCTTCCATTCAGAATCGTAGTAGCTTACTGGATGCGATATGGCCGATACTGTGACTTGCCGTAGCCAGCCGATGTACATGTCAGTGTTTTTATCCTCTAAGACGAATCTGGTCCGGGGATCAGATCCCGGACAGGCTCCCGCCAGTCCAACTAAGCCTTCTATCATCCATTCTCGGAGGATAGGAGGCTTGGTTGGACTGGGCGGGAGCCTGTCCGAGATCTAATCCCGGGCCGCGCGTGTGGTGAGCAGAATCTGCTATCTGCCAATTCCCATGTGCCTCCTCAACGCCACAGACGGTGGAAAAGGACGGACACGCCACTTCCTTTCCTGACTCGACCAGCCATAATCTCCAGGATTTCAATTTCTCAAAACAAGTAAAAGGCAGCTTAGGTCGCGGCCTGCTCCGTTCACAAAATTGCTGAACTCTTCGATGTTCAGTTTTCAACGATCTAGACGGCAAGCTAATGATCCGAGCGACGGGCTTCAAAACGCTATGTGCTGGTTTCCTGGAAGATGGAATCGGCCATTGCTCACAAGGATGCCTAGCAACATGGTGTGTGGCATCATCCGGAACCGGACTGGGATATGTTCGGTCAGTTTTTTTTGGGACCTGTTCATCTTAGGGTGTGGGGAGGGCAGATTGCACTTTCAGATTGCACTTTCGTATTTCATAATGGTCTTGGTTCATTCCTGTCAAATTACGCGTTCACATTGTTTTGAAACATGAGCTCATACCAAGTGTCGCGAATGTTCCATGCTTTTGCATAGCTTTATAGATTTACAAGTCTCTGCAGGAGGCCATCGGCATGTGATTTAAGCGAAATTGCCCCCAACCACAGCCACCCTGTCCCATTTTTGTTTATGGAGTTTTATTCGATTTAGGTTAGCTTTGCTTTTAGCTCGGCTCTAGAAGAAGTTGCTGTTTCGTTGTCCTATGCTCGGAGAAATCGAGCACGGCGATTTGATTTGCGGCATGGAGTCTTACACACCCGACAAAGAACCGAACATTGGTCAGAGCTCTCAGGTGTGCCTTTAATCAGCGATTCAATGATTTTTAATTATCATTTTTTAGTGTTTGAAAATGAAACCCGCAGCTTCTGTTGTCCTTAGTAGGCTAAGGCTACTATGTGAGAAGGTTTCAATGGACAAGGGTTGGCTTTGGCGGGAGGACTTGGTGAATTGCTTGCCGAATGGATCTGTGATGGTGTACCAACCCATGATGTTGCAAGTTTGGATACGGCAAGATTTCTCGACTCTCATTAACTAATCACAATTTCGTTGCCGAGGCGAGTTCAGAAATGCACTGTAGGTTACTTCTTAAAGCCTTTGAAACTTTAACCGCGCTGGTGGTACGACTTTGTTTCCGCTGTCAGGTTGAAGACATGCCGCGATGATCAAGTGGGCGGAGACTCGCACCATTAAGCTTTACTCTTGGGTCGATTTCCTCCTAATACGATAGAGGAAAGAGCGCTTAAAGCCAATCGGCAGAGCCTCTCCTCCCTTTTGATTACGCCGGTGCGGAAAGTACAGCGGCGAGGATTATCCTCCTTTTTGACGGAGTACGTTTTTAGAGGGCATAAAGATCTTAATTTAGCATGCCTGCGCATGTTCATTTGAATCACAGATGTTTCCTTTTTTGAGACCTTAGAACTTTTGAAGTGGTATTTTTTTAAGCGATGACCTACAGCAACTTGTACTACTCTCATCAGTTTCACACTGCACGAAATCTTCGGATGTCACCCATCTACCACCAACTGAGGGATGCTGGTGCAGTATTTGGTGAAATCATGGGGTAAAGTGTTCTTTTTTCATTTGGTACTCATATTTCGTTTTGATATATTTGCTTTGAGAGCAATTTATAATGTTAATAATTGCGCATTTACTGTAACTAATCTTGTTTGCCAAATTGGTGGGGTGAGGGAGGAGGGAGGGGGAGTGGGCGGTGCCTGCTCATCTGCCCCCTACCAGTGAAAGATAGTGTTTCCCTCACTCCGCTGGGGTCATCTTCAGAAGAGCGCGATCGACCGGAGTGGTCGCGGCTGGTCTAGTTGGATCCCCCTCGATCATCCCCGCCGTACATTTTCAACCACCTAGCGTAGCGTCTTTGTGCAAGAGGTGGGCTGGGGTTTTTTTCTGTGGCACTTAGCTGCCATGCAATGTCTCGTCGATGCCAGTGTCGGCCAGAGGGGAATAATTTAACTTTCTTCCAGTTTGTATGTTAGGACGAATTGAACAATTTTATGTGATTTTTATGAGCATGTCACGCCAGTGTATTGGCATACGCCATGTCATTATGTCCTTTCTCTGGGAACAATGTTCCTGAACACCATTGAGAGTGGTAGGGAAGGTGAAGTCTTGTTGTAATGACATGCAGTGCAGTGTAGAGAGGGACGAGGATGTACAGTGAGACGAGGAGCGGACAGTGAGACTTTTCACATGTGAAAACGTCTTGCAAAACATATTTGAACGGGGTGAATGATCTCTAGGACAGTGTTTGGTTCCATAGGGCATATCGTGATCAGCTTGCTGGTAACGACAGGCATCCGTGGGCCTTGAATCTCAGGATGTCGCTTTGCAGCTTTTCCCAAGGTACACGCGAGTGTGGGAATTATGCAGCTGCTTCGCGCGTATTACCGTAGGCCTTTGACGAGCGTGGATGTCTTTACCTTCCTGTGAAAGTGGAGAAAGTGGTTGATATTTTGATACAGTCACTTAGGGATTTTTACCCCCGCTCTTTATGTACCGTCGGCTCGCAGTGAGTGGCCTATGGGAAGAAGTTTTTTTGCCCCTTCCCTGCAACTGTACCCTCCCAACACTCATCCTCCTCTGTGAGCCCCGGTCCAACGAAGAGCTAAAATCTTTCCCTAGGGAGAATAGTGAAGTTTCAACAAAGGTTTTTTGGCTGGGAACATCGTTGGGATGTGGTAATGCCGCGTCATATGCAACTACCCAAATGTGGATTTCACATCCATTGCACCTTTCTCAGCATTAATTTTCTGGCCTGAAAAATTTGCAGGTTGACTGATCGTCTTGGTACATAGTAAAACTCTACGATGGGTGGTCATTAGGTCTTTTAATCAGTTCTAATCTGTACATCAATATTACTCTTTTTTTATTAGAGATTTGGTCTGCATCGACGCTGTTCGGTTTGGAGGGGGCATTGTTGCTGTTTTCTTTTGTTTATTCATGTTAAACAACAGGTATCACATTTGTGAGACTGTAAACTCCTGCGAAACCTGAAATGCTACGAGTGGGCCGCTTCATCATGGCAATTCACAGGCCTTCACAAGGTGACATGTGCATGCCTATCTGAGCGTCATATGGTGCCCCTACCAAACCGAACTGCGTTCTCTGCATCTATGTTTGGTTCACATGTGAAACCTTATTGAAATAGCGCCCATTTTCAGCTATGAACGTCCGTTATGGTATGAGAAGAATCCAAAACCCGATCGTAGTGCTCTGTTTTGGGGGCAGGACTCACTAAGTGGAAAGCCCATTTGGTTTGATGAGTACGTTTACAAATTTTCGTGAATATTTATAATCCATCGTTCACTGTAATTTTTTTCAGAGTTGCAGCAGAATATGAAGCATGTCGAGAACGAGTCGGATTGATCGATATGAGTAGTTTTACCAAGTTTGACATAACGGTGAGAGTTGGCATAAATTCCTGTCCTATCCTTAGTGATGTTATATGGGATTTTCAGGGTCCCGATGTGGTGCATTTTCTACAGTATCTTTGCTCAGCTAATATTGATAGACCAGTTGGTACTACAATATACACTGGTATGCAGCACGAGCGAGGTGGTTATGTGACCGACTGCACTCTGAGTAGGCTCACTGAAACTAGGTAAATATCATCTTAATCTTGTTATATGGAATAATTTTGACGTCCCTGGACGTTTTCGGCTTGGGGGCTTTTTGCACGTTCATTTAGATCATGTTGACTAGCACGAGCTCTAAAGTGAGACCTGTAAACTCATATCTATTGGGTCGGCCCATAAGTAATGGCGTTTTTTCCCCACTCGAAATATCGCGCTGAAGAAGAAAAGTTTTGCCATTGAGTTTTATACCGTTTTGCAGAGAATTCCTTGCCCTACACGATAGTATTCTTAGTTTTCTTCAAGTTTCTCTTTCCACTAATATTTTTGTGATAAAAATGGAGTGTCAGGTTGACGAAATTGAGCATTTTCGACAGCCTCTAATTAACACGCTAAAACCGCTTGGGTCCAGCTGCTAAGTATATGACTGAAAGGCTATACGTCTCTTAGGAAAACTAATAATACTT